AACTTCGCGGACACCAGCAATAACAATGAATCTAAGCAAAAATGGCAATCCACTCCACCTCAGAGCAGTCAGCATTTCATTAACTTTCGGGAGACTTGCAAAGTGTCTGAACGCCGGAATACGCTTGCAGAGACTTCTCACAAGTTCGCAGACCACAGTAAATACGAAGGCTGTGACCAGTTCCTTCGAAAGAGCAAAAGGCTGCTACCTCAGAACAGTAAAACGAAAGTCTCCGTAAAAAACTCAAGATACCTGTAATATTGATCTCTTTCCACTGGCATACTAAACGACAGTTTTACAAGGCCGCATTTCAGTTTCCCTGGTAAGTCTAGAGATCTTGGCTTCGCGAATGCGGTGCGGCAACAGCCTCTGACTTCTTTCCAAATCATCCCGTGATTTTGAAAAATTTCGGCGAGGACAAATGACTAAACTACCGGTGTCTTAGGACAGAGAACTCTTTACGCGCCTTCACTTGTCCAACAGCGGTCTTAATAAACAGGGCTTGTGCCCGTGAAGTGGTCGTCAAATCACGATACAAGAACATACGCAAACAAAGAAAGATGCGAAAACCCGCCGCGAACACATTTTATAAGCAGCTAAGGGCACCAGAAAGCTGAATTCATACTTGATTAACAGCACACGGGAACTCAATTGCGGCACACGCGACAGTTCGGCAATGGCGAACGATTATGTCCATCGTGTGACCCGCAGAATGATGGGCGCATGGAGGGTGACTTACCCAGAATCTGCCGCACTCTCCCCAACCAAATCTGAGACCGGTGCCATGACAGCCAGCAAGAATGAATGGTGAGATCGAGCACAGTTAAACAGTCCGTCTACGTGTTCCACATATGCCTGGTCCGCGCACGTAAACCAGGTTTTCACAGAGAACAAGGGCAGGTCGGACCTCATCTCTGTGAGTGTCAGAGGTCACACTAAAGAGCCACCGCAGCTGGGCTCCGTTCTGAAAAGACCGAGTTATCCCGTCAGTTGGCAACCTCTTAATCCACGCTTAGCGCATCGCGATAGTTTAAAAGTGCACCAGATCGTTCGGTTAGGAAATGCAGGGTCGACCTCATTCTCTCTTTTCTATTGCAGGCAATAATCCACGGGCCGAGCCGGTAAGCTATCTGGAGCCGGGATTGGACACAAATGGCTGGCAGCAAAACAGTCCGTTTATGCTTACCATACACGACTGGTTCCCACACAAGACGCTACGTTTTCACACGAAGTGGGTACGCGGCCCAGACCTCACAAGCAAAAGTTTTAAGGAGACCACACCAGGTAGCCAGTGAGCCTGATTTTAACTCCACTAACCGGACAATTCACACAACCGAAAGGCCGGCTGCGACGTCTGAGTTATAGCGTCAGTTGGCAACCGTCGAGGTCACGGCCTTAAGCGCGTAATGCTAAAGTCAAGCGCGTTAGATTTGTTATAGTGAGGAATTCGCTTAAGTGCCACGAGGCTAGAACCTTGTCCTGCGGTCGCAGAAAGAACGAGTCTAGCTCTCCTGACCTGCTGACGCTCATGGTTGCGAATGACGTGGCAATGTTCGCGATAGCACTGAAATCGCATGATGACAGGCGTGTCAGGAATAAGTAATAGATGCTGGTACGAGTCAAACATTTTAGACTATACGTTTGGTGTTCATACGGGTAAATGACGTTAAAATGGCCCAAAAACAACTCTGACACTGGTTTGATGGCTGAACTTGCAGTAGCGTTGTCAAACTCCTTTGAGCACGGAAAAGTCATGCCGGAGACCACATGATTGAAAATGAGTGATGCACCGTCCACTTAAACCACTACGCAGGAACCGATGACAAAATGTGATGATTCTGGTCTGTTAACACGGTTAAAACGCCTTCATTTGACAGACCTCAGTTACGTGAGTCCGATAAATAACAATAGGTGTGCAATTCACTGGAGACATCTAGGGAGTCTGCACTTTGAAGACTCTATGGTGGTCGGATGGTCGTCCCTTGAAAAGTATAACAAGCCAACTTACATGTTCCCACACTTTTGATAATTTCGTATTGCCATAACTGCTGAAATCTTGGGAAAGTCCACATAACGACGCCTTGTACTCTGTTGGCTTACGCAGTCCCATGATGAGAAGCGTGGGCACTTACTTCGTAACAAAATTGCGGAAATTTTGGAGTCAGACTGACGGCTCAGTGGTCAGACGAACTCGGGCGGGAGCCCTGCCTGTCACACAGATGCAGCAATATCGAAGAACTGGTGGCCTACCGTCTCTGCAACACATATGCAGTTAACTCACTCGGCTGATTATGGGCAGCTTGCTCAGCAACGAGGTTGGCGCCAGCCTTATCCCCGGCCTTCTAGGATAGCGCTAATTCGGGACAAACTGTTATGGCAGGACAGCAGGTGCGGAGTTAATAAACATTTAACCGAGCCTCATAAATGCAGTTAAAAATAATCCCTACCCAGGAAACAACGTTAGGAATTCAAAAACAGGAAAAAATGATTAAGGTAGTCTAAAAAACCCCGGGTCGAAAACGCATCAGGCACGCTAGGGCATGAAAATACTAGATAGTGGGATGGGACTGAAATCGTATAAGATCTGAGCATGCTAATATCAGATAAATCAGCCAAATGTCATGGATGGTAAAGAAAGTCGGCGTTCGTAAAGCGGGGTGTTGGTTTCTGCCTAATCCATAGGAAAACTTCCCGTAAAAGGAACAGGTCGAGACGAACTACAGAGCAATAAGTCAAGCTTTTGACATAACCAAAGAACTAAAATTCCTTCTTTGAAATGAAACGGTGGTCATAAAGCATTCCAATATTGGTTGCTTACCTGATCCTTCTGGGTTATTTAGTACACTGGAGGCGACAGAAGAAAGGCCACCTAAATCTAGTCCAGGAGCACGATTCGTAGTCTCAGTGTTGCTCGAAGAACCTTCACCGGCAGGCCTCTGAAGTCGAATGATTAGCCAAAGAGATCACAAACCTGTGTCCCAGAGCCACTCTAAATGGAATGGCGTAAATAATAAAGGAATGGATTACCTTAATAACAATGTGGACGACCAGATTATCTTTGAGCTTGTGCTGAGCTAATGTGTCTTCATCCTTCAGGATTTTTCCAGCAAAAATCAGACAGACACGACCCTCATCAGCAGTGTATGCCTTTGCGGCCTCGGCCCTCAACTAGGAAGAATAACAAATATCCCACATCAAACCTCCTTTATTGTTGCATCTTCCCTGATTTTTATGGACTTCTCATCCTTCGGCGATTTCAGTCTGATTGTAATCTCCGACATCTCGGAAAGCAAGACCTCCAAGGCCTCTATTTGGGCTAAACTGCAACATTACTCAGGTTGGCAGATCAATCTACCTTGGTGCTCAAGATTAAAGAAGGTAAGAGGTTAATCAAGAACGCGATGTAGTATAGGAGCTCCCTAGGTTAGAACACCGAATAAAGTCCCTCCAGGCCAATACCACTCCATGCTATTTATTGAGATGTCCACATTGTCTGGGGTTGAGGTTATGGGCTTTGGTGCCTTCTATAGTGGATTACCAAACACCCAGTGAGCGTTTCAGTTGACATAATTAGCTTTACAAAGAACGTTTATTTAAACTCGAACGTCATACAAATGACTTGATCATGCTGTAGACTTTGTACATACACGCTTGCTGTTTAAGTTACTATTCCTCACAAACATCAGTCTAATTTCAACCGCGGTCTCCTGTCTGTCACATCAAACTAAAAATAGCTTATTTAATTTTGAACATGGGGAACTGTAATTTCCATCATGACGGCAGAGAAAGTCGTGTCATTCTTACGATCTAAGGCCGTCGTTTATTAACATAATGACTACGAATTTTAGGTAGATTAGAACTGTGATGGTCTTTTTTGAAAAGACAAGAGGAAGACAACAGTAAATTAATGCATGATCACTATCAAAAAGTCCTGTCTGAAAGTCAGTTTCAGTAAGGGAAAAAGACTTTCGTCCTAGAGATGCCGGATCAAATTCGAAAATAGCGACGCAATCAATTTTTACACAAATAATCCTGAAAACTGAAGTCATCGATATGCGTAAGCCAGGCACAAAATGCCAGCACTGAAACAATCGTTATCATTTAGGGAACCACAATTCCGTAGAAAATAAAAAAGAGACCGACAGAGAACAATGTCTTCTTATTCAGGGGCTCCCTGAATCAAGTGCAAATACTCCCAAGGAATGGGTTTCGGAAGACCTATCACTCTTCCAAGTTCTTCTCAATAATATTTTGGAACCCATGGAGGCTATTGAAGTGATCAAGGCCTTCCGCCTTGGAAAACAAGCAGATAATCCATCACTGTCCATTCGTCTCGGGCCTCTTAAAGTTGTGCTGGCCAGCAGCGACTAAACCAGTCTCATTTACTCCGGGCGATTCAGGATTAAAGGCTCCAACCCAGGTGTTTTTTTTCAACCGGACTACTCGCCAGCCGAACGGCTCAAACGTCTTCAGCTAGTTCTAGAACTAAGAAAGAGGCTCAGCGAGGGGGAGAACAATTAAGTTATATACAACAACCAAGTACGGCGGCGTCCCTCAGTCTTCCTTTGGACAGGTCCGGTCCGAATGACCGCGCAGCCGACATATTAAGTGAAGGCGTTAACAAAAATATAACCATATCTTCCGTCAGCCGGAAATTGAAATTCTTGTACACCAACGTGCAGAGTTTCCTATCAAAGTTCGACGAGCTGAAGATCCACCTCTGCGACCTATCCCCTGACGTAATCTCTTTAACAGAAACCTGGTTGACCCAACACGTAGACGACCGTGAGCTGGCCTTGCCTGGCTACCAGATGTTTAGAAGGGATAGGGAAGGGCTTCAGGGAGGAGGCGTACTCACGTATGTAAAAAATGAGCTAAATGTATCAGACAAGACCGATAACTTTTCGTGCAGTTCCGAGGCGATCTGACTGTCTATTAAAGTGCCGAGCTCGCCTAGCCTCGATGTCCTGATATTTTATCGGCCGCCGAGACGGGACAACATGGCCGACGCTCGCCTGCTGGAGGAGCTCGAAAAGTTCGCTACGCGGCCGGATATCCTAATCATGGGCAACTTTAACGCGCCCCATATTGACAGGAGCTCAACCCATGCAAATAGCTCGGAACAGACCTTCGATAGGAGTTTTCTGAACACGGCACTGAAGCTATTTCTCACTCAACACGTCATGCTACCAACCAGAGTACGCGAAGGCCAAAAAGCCAACTGCCTTGATCTTGTCCTTACGAAGTCACAGGACAGCAATGATGAGGTGTCATGCCTACCCCCCTTAGGTAAAAGTGACCACGTCGTTCTTCTATGGGATTACTCGCTTTTTTCCATGCCCAAGAAACCCGTGACAGTTAGAAGAAACCTTTGGCGCGGGGATTTCGACCAAATGAGGGCTGAAATTTCACGCATTGAGTGGGAGCATATTCGAGGACTGGCAACGGTTCCGAGAAATTCTGCACGAGCTGGTCGTAAACCACTGTCCGCTTTCACGGAAGAGGTTAGCTAACAGACCTCGATGGCTTACGCAAGCCTTGAAGAATGAAGTGAATAAAAAACGAAGGTTGTGGAAAAAATCGCTTTCTGACAGGAGCCCCACATCTATATGCGCGTACAAAATTCAAAGAAATCGATTCAAGGGCCTTATCCTCAAAACTAGAAGGGAATTCGAACGGGATCTGCTTAACCGTTCCGCGGAGAACCCTAAATTATTCTACGGTTACATTAAGCAGTGCACGCGGAACAAGGACCCAATACCCCTGCTAAGGACTGTTGAAGGCGAACATCTCACTGGCGACAGGGCGAAAGCTGATCACCTTTCAGAATTTTTCCGGTCTGTTTTTAGTAGAGAAACAGGATTCAACCCTTCGGCCCCTCAATCCTCCGAAGACACCCCAATTAAAGAGACCGTTCAGTTCACTGAGGGTATGGTTCTGACGGAGTTGCTGAGGCTAAAGGAATCCAAATCACCAGGTTCCGATGAGATTCCGGCGAAGATTTTGAAGGAACTCGCCGGTGAGTTGTCTAAGCCACTCTCCATAATTTTCCATACATCCTTCGAGACCGGATATCTGTCACCCGCCGCTGTGCAAGGGCGGAAGTCGGGTCTCTGCGAACAATTACAGACCTGTCAGCCTCACCTCCATTTGCTGTAAGATTATGGAGAAGATAATAAAGTAACAATGAATGCAGTTCCTTGAACAAAACCATTTGCTTTCCGATTCTCGGCATGGATTCCGCAAAAGCAGATCCTGTGTGACAAACCAGCTCTACTGTCTGGAACTCTGGCCTAGGGCTGTTGATAGAGGAGATATGGTGCATGTCATCTATATCGACTTTTAAAATGCCTTCGATAGTGTGCCTCACCACAGCCTTCTATACAAACTTAGTCGTGCACGAATGCGAGGTAAGCTTCTGATGTGGATTCGGAGCTTTTTAACCGGCCGCTCTCAAGCCATCCACGTCAGTGACCAGCAATCTGCCGAGGTTGCCGTTTGGAGTGCTGTTCCCCAAGGCTCTGTTCTTGGCACTACACTGTTCCTCGTATACGTCCATGACTGCGCAAACGAACTGAATTTCGATGCCGCAATGTTTGCCGATGACATAAAAATGTGGAGTACGATACGAAGTGAAGTTGACGAGGCGCGACTGCAGACAAATCTGGACCACCTCGAGCAATGGTCGAAAGACTGGCTTCTACCGTTCAACGTAAACAAGTGTAATTGCCTACGCGTCGGCAGAACCAGTTTTCCTAACCACACGGTCTACCGTCTGACTGGCAAACCACTGCAAGAAGTCGACGCCCAGAAGGACTTGGGTGTATGGATCTCAACCTCGCTTAAGCCTTCGCTGCAATGTTCAAGGGTGGCCAAGTCGGTGATGTCCATTCTATACCTCGTAAAACGGGCGTTCTCCTCCTTTGATGAAGACTGCTTCGCCAAGGTCTTTCAGACCTTCTTGCGACCGCATCCGGAGTTTGCTATTCAAGCATGAAGACCCTGCACCGCTAAAGACTTCGGTATATTTGAACAAGTTCAACGGCGAGCAACGAAACTTGTATCTGGGCAGTGGTCACTACCCTACGAAACACGATTAGCCAATCTTGACCTCTTTCCTTTGAGTTACAGACAGCTACGATGGGACCTGATACAGGTTTTCCGCATCGTGCGCAATCAGGGCTGCTGCCTCGCATCAGGAGACTTCTTCGAGTCGGCGACTACGACTAACCTGAGAGGCCATCAACTCAAACTGCGTGTGACTGGTGCCCGGCTAGACACACGAAAGTTCTTCTTCTCCAACAGAGTGGTTGCAGCTTGGAATGCCTTGCCTGAGGATGTTGTTATTTCGGGATCCGTAGATACTTTTAAACGGAGGCTAGATCACCATTGGAGCGCGAACCACAATAACGGCGGTCTACCGCCACCTTGATAGCTAAAGTTGACAATTTAGTGTTATGCCGATGCTACTACCAACATTTAAGTAACATATGTTTTTGTAATTTACTAATTTGCAGCACGTCGCACACAGCTGCTCGCACTCACCACGGCGCCTGTAGACTAAACAGTTTTACTTCTTTTCCCGTATCTTAAGTGTGCTTCGACTGTCCGCCGTATTTAATCAAAAAAGTAAGTTAATGTGCCTCTAAATTCTGTTAACGCATGACATTCTGTGCTCATCTGTACAGTTGTTGCTATTCCCCTCGCATTTCTTTCATGTTACTTCCTTTCCATTTCCTCCATATATATCCTCTGCATGTAACCAATAGGGAATTCAAAGGTACACACCTACTTTCCCTGAAATATACTGATACTGATGTGTACAGTAGTATTCAACCAAATGACCGTTTAGTTGGCATTTAAAAGTTTAAACAGTTTCTGAAAATATCAATGCGCCGTGGAGTTCAGTTTATTTGGTAGGGATAGTAGGCAAAGCCTTTGAAAACCCCATTGATTACATGTCATCTCGTTAGAAATAACTGTACACGAACAATAAATGTATTTGCTATTAAAACAGTACTTGATTCTCTTGATTAGCATCTGATCAGAGAAAATATTTACGGGGTTGTGGGGTATTAGTTCAGATTCAGACTGTCGAGGGAAAACAGGGGACACAAATAATCATCCAAGAGTTTCTTGATGAGTTGCAGAGACGTAGCCTCCACGACTGAATGAGGGAGATCGTTCCATTTCTCCACTACCCTCTGCGTGAAAAATTCAGAAAGAAGATTCAGCCAGGACATTGTTGGCCGTAACTTCATCGAGTGACCACGAAGATTGGGTGAAAGGTGCCACTGAAACATGTCCTCAAATTTAAATACATGCTTAAGGCCATGTATTATCTTGTAGACTAGGATAAGATCACCTCTTTGCCGCCTGTAACACAGAGGGAATAAATTATGGCAATTCAGTCGGTCTGCGTAGGATTGGCTTTTTAGACCGTTTACCAGCTTTGTTGCACGCCGTTGTACCCGTTCGAGGCATGCTTGTTCCTTTACTAGCCATGGCCGCCACGCTTGTATGCCATATTCTAAGTGGGGCCGAACAAAGGTGCCGTAAACTCTCCCAAAAAGGTCTTGGTCAAAGTTTACGAAAGCCCTTTTGATTGCATGCAGCACTCCCATGGCGTTTTTTTGCAGCCTTGTGGCACTGAAGTGTTGGTTTCAGGTTGTTCTGTATCCAAACCCCGAGATCCAAGCTCCGACGACCCTTTGCGAGAAGGCGTTCTCTCAGACATCCATATGGGCCAAATTCCTCTACAGTTTAGAAGGATGACTGCACAGACAGTTCACCCCAGGCGATTCAAAGAAGTCATCGAAAATTGGGGCGCGTTCACGACATCTGGCAATCCGTAGGTTTGAATAAAGTCTCCGCGCTGTTGCTTGCAATTTAAAGAAACCAAACTAATTTCGGCCAATCTGATTTTGAAGGGCAGATGATTCGGATTCTTGGTCACATTCGTTGCCCTCACCTGCGCTCATTCTTACTGTTGATAATCCTTCTTGAACCATGGACGACGGGTCTAGACGGCATACTCTAAGTGAGACCGAACGGATGCCGCGTATGTCTTCCAAACAGCACCTAATCCATCTGTACAGATTCTCGTCCCAGCGTAAATAACACCCATATTGCGTGTTTGCCTGTCCTTTAACACTCTGACGACGGTTTTATTGAGAAGATCATTACCACGCCGAGGTCTTTCTGTTTCTCAGCATTTGTTAGGAGCTGCCCGTAAAGGTATCGGAAGTAATTATACTTCTCATTAGTCACTCTGGTGCGGAGCCTCAGTACCACACGTGTACCAAAGTTAAAATTTTGGAGCGACTGAAGTGACCAGCTGTTAAGTCGGTTGAGACTCGCTTGAAGCGCGTGCCTGCATGCGTCATATCTGATTACTCTCGCAGCTTAACATCGTCAGAGAACATGACGGCTCTGCAACCGAGATTGTCGACACAGTCGTCGATGTATGCAGGGAAAAGCTACGGCCTTAAGACGGAGCCCCGCGGGACACCACTTAGAAGGGGGTAGGAGTTGACTTCGAGGCATTAGTGCACACTGTTGGTGATCTCCTCGTAAGAAAATTTGCGACCCATGCCAGTAACTCTCCTCTTATTCCAATTTGAGAGGATTCCTAGATGAGGTGTTCGCGTAGGACGCTGTCGAACGCCTTCTTGAGATTCATGTAGATGATGTCGATCTTATCATTCTCGTCCATTGAGCGTGTCCACTGCTCAGTTGAGAGTGATACATAGGAAAACCATGAGTAGTTCCATCTTCAGCCTTGCTTGAACCCTAAGAGAAAGGGGTTCTACTCTAGGAACTTCATTGTCGCATACCTAAATATGGTTTCCATCATTTTAACCAAATGCAAGTTAGGCTGACAACTGTTGGCCCAATCTTATATACGAAGGGGGACAAACCTAACTGGTAAGGAACAGACCCGGAATGTGATTACGTCCTGTCTGAAAGGGTACAAGTTGAGATCAGTTAGAAGAATTAATAATATCCTGGAAAGACTGAGATCCCAAGAGACAATAATTTGAAAGCTATCTACTTGAAAAAAACTAGAATCACAAGCAACTATTTTAACATCGAAAGCAGATTCCAAAACCAGTTTAAGGATTTAGCAAAGCTGTGCACCATCACTGCATGATGACTGGAAGAGGGAGATGGTGAATTCCGAGGGTTATAGATACTGCCAAGAATAGCCTTTCTTAGCAACAGGAGAATAAGAAATACACAGCGGAAATTCCAGAAAGCATGGGATCTTTCGGTTTTCTTTTTAATGCACGTAGAATACAAATTAGACTTAGTACGAACAAAGTTCAGTGCGGATGAATTCTGCCAGAACTCCGGTAAAGAACGTGACACTGCTCTGATGGGATCGTCTGTCTTTGCCTCGGTGGTGGAGGGAAATGAAAGAAAGTACGGACCAGGACTTTCAGTGCAGTGGATTTGCCAGTTGATAAAATGGGGTGTGAAACGCTTGAAAAATGCACTGCGCATGCAAATTTAACGTAACCACTTTAGGGAGTAGCAGTGGGCGATAGGCCAATCCCACACTGCTTACGAAATGTAGTGAGCCTTGCAGTTGTGGTCAAACGCTCATAATATTTGCTGCATTCTTCGTTTGGATTTTACATCTACAAGTCGCATTGTACCAGACTGCGCAATTTTCAGCGATAGCAGTGCATTTTCTGCTGCATGCTTAACTGAACTATCACATAGACGGCTAGATAAATGAACCTGTGAATGCCATTGGGCAACCTGCAAACCTACTGGAGTAGTAAGTCTCAAGACCTAGGAGCGTCTAGAACGTATGCATAATGTTATACTGTCCAGTTTAGTTCACTTCAGGTTATTGAGAGAAATTGACGTACGCCTTTGAGTTCCCTCTGTATAAAGTAAAAATGTGTGGTTTACAGCAAACGTTTCTGGGCTGAAATAGTTCATACGAGCCCATAATGATATGAGAAAATGGGGACGAGCTACAGGGGATGAGCTCGATCTCTCATCTCCCTTGATCATTTCGGAATATGAAAATGTCGAGGTCCCTTTTAAATCTTTGCATAGATGGTGACATCGCAACATCTACAGGAAGGGCATTTCATAGTTTAACCACTCGAACAGAGAACGAGAACTTTCGCACATCCAACATTGCTAGTTGCGTGCGCAGTTTAAACGGGTGACCTCGGAGGTTGGTCGTGGTAGCAAATTCAAAAAATTCCTCGAAGGCCAGGCTGCTATCCAACCCCTTTACAATGCGGAAGGCTTGCAAGAGATCCCCGCGAAGTTGCCTGTTACTAAAAGGGAAGAGGATTAGATTTATTAGGCGGGTTGCATAAGGAAAGGAGCTTTGACCCCTAACCACTTTCGTGGCTTTCCTCTGAACTCTTTCAAGGCGGTTTTGAGCCTCAAACGCCCATGGTCTCCAGGCTTGTATGCCGTACTCCAAGTGCGACCGCACGAATGTTCTGAATGTCTTCGAGGAAGCATCTTAATCAAAATCCATAAACGCACGCTTGATGGCGTGCAGTACGGACATTGCGCTTTTTGCCCTCTCGAACAATGAGCGAATGGTTTTGGGGAGTTCGTCGTCAGCACACCAAGGTCGTTTTAGGTTTCATCGTCTCGTAAGGCTGCGCCGCCCGGAAAGTAATCTCTTGTGCTGGCGGATCTGGCTGTGTTGCCTAGGCGAAGTATGCTACACTTACCAACGTTATACTGCAGGAGCCAACGGTGTGACCACTCTTCCAACCGATTTAGGCTCATCTGCAGTCTGTCTACGTCAGCGGGGTCACGAATTATACTCCGTATCTTCATGTCTTCGGCAAACATTGTTGCTTCGCAGTCTAGAGCTCTTGCGGCATTGCATATTAGTAACAAAGTGAATCCCAGTACTGAATTCAGGGGGACACCACTGTCGACCACAGTAGGATCTGATTTCCATCGACCGATGCGCATAACTTGGCGTTAACCCACAAGGAAGTTGCCGCT